GAGCTCGGCGTGGGTATTGCTCATCGCCCGATAGCTACCATGCGTGCACGAGCCATGCAAATCAAAGACCCGCTGGATGTAGGTGAGCATTCTGGCGTCATTTATCAGGTGCCACGTCGCGACTGTTCTTGTGATTATACAGGGCAGACCGGGCGACGACTTAGCGCGCGAATAACGGAGCACAAACGGGCAGTGCGGAAAGGCGACGCACAGTCTCAGATCGCTACCTACACTCTGGAAGAAGGCCACAAATTCGACTTCTCAAACACATGGATAAGGGCACGAGCCAGTAATAAGACGAAACGCGAACTGCTGGAGGCCTGGGTGTCACATCCTAATTCCATTAACAGGCATGTGGATAAACCACCCTGTTATATTGCCATCCGTTGCCGTGACCAGAAACCAGGGCCCAGCTCCTCTACAAGAGTGCAGGCCACCACTTTAAGGTCACACGCCATTACTCCAGGGATGCCCGTCGTAGACACGATAAGATAGCGTGACAATGGACTTGGCGTAGACAAGGACCAATCAATAATTGCCACCACCCCCCTCCTTGTGATTATTGACTCAGACAATTCTCCGGATAGTAGACATCCGTTATGACAGCTAGGACTACACAAAATTTGTATGAGGTCACCCGCATGCGTACTATAATTGTCAGTTCCTGTAGCCACCGCTTGAGGTCTTAATTGATGCGGTGATTGCTCATTAATTGTCACAGCTTTCTTGTCCGCGTCGGATGCGTGTTTGATAATTGCGCGACAATTATGCCTGCTATCGTCAGAGTTGTTGTTGCGCCCATTCCTTCCCACGTGACTGATTCTCTTGCTCAGGAAATTTCTCAGTATGCCGTATGGTAACGCCAAACCGTTGCGCTTGTTGATATAATCAACTCTTGTTCCAGTGATCGCTTCTTCTTCGGAATTGCTTCCTGGTACTCGGATATTCTCCTCTATTGGAAATTATTTCCTATTGTTTCATTGACATAAGGTCTCGAAGACGCAGATTAAGAGAAGTATTGTTAAATGAACTGCGTCCCTGTGTTTTTATTTCCTAGAACCATCAAAACTGTTGACCTGAATCGTCAACTCAACACTGGCTGCCAAATATCTCCCAGTTTAGTAAACTATACACAGGAGCGGAATCAGCAACTAACTGAACAAAAGGTACGTCAGCAACAACAAAAAAGAGGAGAAAAGCCGGGATGCGGAAGCCGGAGGCGATGGGAAAAAGTACTGGTAAATAAGAACAGAATTGGCTTGAAACTCTATATGGATCTTGCTTGAGCTCAGTATTACCTTGATTTATTTGTAACCGGCAAAAACACAACCTCTTACTTGGAAACCTTGCGGACCTATTTGAGTACATTTGGTGAAGTGTTCGGTGTGTATAAGGTAAAAACAGGTGGAGGTGTCTGTGTTACAATACGCCCGGTGGGGGATCCGAGGCACATTCTGACCGCAAATCACAATGATCCCCATATTAAGAACCGGTATGCATTCGACGATGAATATGATAAATCAGTAAGGTGAGTTAATGGGCGTTCATTATTTGTGTGCTGAGATGTTAATGTTAGCCTACCTTACATTTTGGATAACCTCCTATGTTGTGACTCCATATTATATTGTAAATAGGTAAACCCCTTGCCCAAGGTGCCTTCAGAGTAGAGCCGGAGGCAAATATGTTACTCCGTCAATGCACAAAGAAGCTGATTGTAAAATAGAAATTTAAAGCACAATATGAATGTAAGCATTTCACTGGACGCCTTCACCCTGTGCTTTGTATGCTTACGGTGAGTTATTAACAGCCAAATCCGAATAATCGTGTATACTTAAATAGCAACATATGCACCATGCTGGTCCTCGAAAGTCAATTGATCCTCTGAATATTGTCCACTAACAATGTTCGCAAAACCCTTTGTAATATTCGAAGATTAGAACCCTCACAATTCCCATAGTTGGACTTACGGTATTGCAGTATAAAACACTTAGCTAAGGCGTCTATTATGCATAAATAAGTAGTGAATTACCAACTGCTTTATCGATTAGAGTACCCAGAAATCCCCTATAAAAAAGGTTTTTTTAAGAATTCGAAAGCCGCATATATTTTCTACCCGCCGTAAAATGTCTTCAAACAAAAGCTGTTTCAGTTTGAATTCTTTGTTAACGACGACGAAGCAAATCATTAACCCAGAGCGTTAACACAAAGCTCCAAATCAAAGTTGGCTGTCCCGAGAAAGCCCATCTAGCACGAGAACAGCCAACACTACAACATTTATACATCAAAAACTTGAAATAGTAACAATAAAAAATCAGGAACAAATTGATTTGAAAAGGCCTTTGACTGTTGGCAAATCACAAAAGTACAGTATGGCGAGTGCTGCAAGCGACATTTCGCAATTTTATTACGACCGGTTATCACTCGGAAACCAACACGGAGTAGGGTTGCAGTACTGTTCATCATACAATCCATTTTCCATTCTTTTCAAGCAGGCTAGGATTCCGACTATGTGATGAGCTTCCTTTTGACCAGTACAAAAAAATGTGGTTCCGTAAAAAATGGCTACTTAAATACTATGCATTTTTATCATTGATTTTGATCGCCTTCATTAATTCATATATATTTTATGGAAAGCATGCACAAAACATTCTCTCTTGTATCTGTTGCATGGCAAATTGTGCCTTCTTTGAAAGTAATTCTTAATGGAAGGTTTTCCTTCGGTTTTAAAAATGTTTCTAAATTGCCGAAGGATGTTGAAACCTACCGACTGTTGTGCTCATCCTGTTTAAGTAAAAGTATGTTCCTGCTTATTGTTTGAGGAAGTGGTTGCATAGTTCTCATATAATTTTACAATAGAATATATAATGCTGAATATACCAGTGGCAGCATTAATAAATTAATGAATCGCATGTATTATGAATGAACACCGCTTAGTCGTAAACATACTCAAAATTACACTTTTTTAAACCAAACGAAACTCTTCCTTTAAGAATGAAATGTATAAGAGGCTTAATTTGCTATCAAATTAACACAAGATATGATTTGATTGTGCATGTTTTCCATTTGAATTTATAAAGGCAGTCAAAATCAATGATAAAAATGCAGACTTTTTAAGAAGCCATTATTTACAGAATTAACTTTTTCACAGCGGTCAGAAAGGAGCTTATCACAAGGATGATATCCTAACGTGACTGAAAAGAATTGAAAATTGACTGTATGATAAACAGTACTGCAACCCTACCCAATGTTGATTTTCGAGTCTCTTCCAAATTGCAGAATGTTTTTTGCATCCCTCGCCATACTGTACATTGAGCAATGTGTTTACGGCACGATGGCTTAGGTATGTGGGCAAGACTCACACAACTACTTCAGTCCTTTTGGAGAAGCAGAAAACATGCATTCCTTTGCTGTATGGCAACTCATCCAACACAGGATCCGGCCTATATTCTGATAATGAAGCACATTGTAAATGCAGTTAACATACGGGTCATGTATGTGCTAAAGTTCGACTTTGAATACAATTAATCCTGAATACAAGTATTATTAGGTTGACATTTGTCTATCTATGTGGGCAATTTTATGCAGACAGTGTGTTTTCCTTAACATAACCTCTTTTGGCCTCCATCTCGTATATTGCACATGATAGGTCGTTTGTCACGGGAACTGCAGGCTAGGCGCTGACAAAGCACGGATCCTACTTACAATGTAGATGGTTAGTTTATTTTCATTCCTCATCTCAACTGTACTGGCACACGGCGCGAAGACATGAAAGCAACAGCTTTGAAACGACAAATGAATCCTGGTTGCTAAAATTTGCCCACCCAGTTTAGTATGGAGTGAGTTGATGTGATCGCTGGAAGAAGGGGTTCATTGGCCTGACGTTTCGGACTGTTTTTGTCGAACTCGGTATCAGAAGAATAAAACCATAAATAATGGTTAAACGGCATGCAGAATGTAGAATTTACAATCCGTAGATCTCACGCAGCCATATATGCAATTCTCGAGATTTCCTTCCATTCCCGTATTTTGTGCGGAGACTTTGCATAAACCGAGGAACCCGTGACTGTGGGGGGAGGCGTTACTAGCTGACCAATTTTTTTGCCTTTTTGACCTAATTTTGGCGTATTTTGTAATCGGTGGACCGACTACAATGTCTTGTGTAATTATATGTACAGTAATGTCGCCACCAAGCAGTGCTTGTACACAGATTACTATCATTCCAGAGATCGCGTCTTCCTCTTCTTTACTATAATTATCGGGCCGCTTGTCGAGT